TAAACACTGCAAGGGCCACTCTGGTACAGATATCTTTTTGATACCCCTCATTGTTTCCTTAGGATGTATTTTAAGAAATAGGGTTATGAAGCTCAGAGCACCCACTGACAGTTATACCAGTTCTCCCAAAAGGTTTCATTCGTTCATTCATTCATTTATCTCACCAGTGTTTACTGAACACTTGCTCTGTGCCGGGCATTGTTCCGGGTGCTGAGGACGTGGTGGTGAGCTCCCTGGGGAAGCACAGCATTTCCCATCCGAGCTTGTGTGACAGCGGGGCCGTGACTGGGGAGGACACGGCATCTGCCTTGTGTTCATCCGGTTACATCGGAGATCCTGGAAAGGTGTGTGTAAATCAGAACTTTAGAATTTGAGAATGAAGTACCCAGTGCAACATGTTATTTCAAGGGATCCCAGGATGAGTTTAAGTCTTTTTCTCACTCAGAAACTGAATCCTTTGACTATAACCCAATAAAGTTACAAATTATTAATAAAAAGATAGCCAGAAAAAAAGAGAAAGAGCCAGAAGCCTCTCCATACATTTGGAAATCAATAGTGAGCTTTTGCATGGTTTATCAGTTAAAGATTGTCATGATAAAAAATTAGGAAATATTTAGGTTGAGTGACAATAAAAGCATTGCATGTCAAAACATGTGGAATGCAGCAAAATTGGTACTTAGAGGAAAATTTATAGCTTCATTAGAAAATAAGATGATAAATTAGTGAGCTGTGTGTCTTAGTTTCCTAGGGTGCCATAGCAAATTGTCAAAAAATGGGCAGCTTAAAACAGCTATTTACAGTTCTGGAAGCCAGAAGCCCCAAATCAAGGCTTTGGGGTGGTCGCTTCTGGGGGCTCTGATGGGGGGCGGGGTCCGCCGCAGCCCCCCCCCAGCTTCTGGGGGCTGCCCTTTACTGGCAGACGCATCACCAGACTGCCCCTGTGTTCGGCCCTGTGTGTCTGTGTCCAAACTTCCTCTTTTTATAAGGACACCCGTCGTTGGATTAGGGCCACTCTAATCCAGGATGACCTTGTCTTAACTTGATTGTATCTGTGAAGAGTTATTTCCAGATAAAGCCACTCTCTGAGGTTCTGGGTGGACATGAATTTTTGAGGGACCCTTTTAAACCTACTGCCCGGCTGCCACCTGAGAAGCCAGGAATAGAGGAAGACAGCAAGACAGAAACGAGGAAAAATTACAAGGGTAAAAGCAGAAGTTAATGAAGCAGAAATCGAAGAAATAGCAGACAATAAAATCAGAGTCTGACTCTGAAGAGATGGATGAAGCAAACATTGGAGAGGGCTGCCACGTCATGAAGAGACACACAAACTGTAATTTGCCACAGGTTGGGGAGGAGGGGGGCAAGGGGTGAGCTCAGAACTGCCCACGTCCCCTGGTTCAGCTCTTCTCATCTGGGTGGACTCAGGAGGCATCTCCTTCAGGAAGCCCTCTTGGACTCCTCCTTGCTGAGGATGGTCTAAGAGCCTGCCAGTGCTGGTGCAGCCCCTTGTACCTACCTGGTCCTTCGGTGGTGCTCACCCGTTGTCTTGCTGTGACCACCATCTCTGTCCTGTTTGAGCTCTAACAGTAACCTCCTTCATGAAAGAACTATGCCTTTTTCCCTGTTGCATTTTCTGTCTGAGGCCTGGTATACAGAAGGTGCTCAATAAATGATCGAAGCTCTGTGTTTCTCTTCTTGCCTTGCCGCTGGGTGGCTGGGTGCCCTGGACACGTCCCTTACCCTAGGTATCCCCTACGCGGGACGTCCCTCACCCTAGGAGTCCCCTACGAGGGATGGGGCAGCCGGTGTCCTTGCCCAGCCAGACAGGGAGGGGAGCAGAGGGGAGGGATTCCACTGTCCCAGGCTCCCAGGCGTGTGTGCTGTTGTGTGTGGGGGGTCAGCTCAGTTCTGGAAAGTCTCCCTAGACCCCCCTCCGTGTTGTCTCTTCTCAGGCTGGAAGCCTGCATTTCACCCCTCGTGTAGGAAAACGTGGTCAGAAGGTGATGAAGCACATCGTTCATGGCCCAGGGAGCTCTGGGTCCCGAGGGCAGGACGGGGACGGTCCCTGGAGCTGCCTTACGCGTTTTGGGGCAGATTCTGGCTGCGGAGCTTTCTGGAAACACTGTTCCCACACTCTTGTTATGAAGATTCCTTTGGCCTGGATCGCCTGTCCTGACCCCGTGCCCTCTACCATTCGCAGCCAAGACAACTCAGCAGCGTGAAAACAGGAGACAGGAAAGGGGAGCTCTGAGAATTAGAGGTTTTCCTGGAATCTCCCGGGGTGGGAGAGGGATGCCATCCAGAAGTAAAGGTCTGGCGTGGTCGAGGCAGAGCCTGGGGGCGGTCATCCCACTGCGCCCTGGGGGCCCTGGCTCCTGGCCCCCCCGTGTCCTCTCAAAATCCCCTGAAGTGGCTTCGTGTTTTGAACCACCCGTATCCTGCCTCATTTGACCCTTTGCTCCCAGAGACGGAAAGTCATCTCCGCGCCGGGACAGGGCTGCTTACGGGTCCAGGAGAACAAGGCCTGGGCCGCGGCTTTCTTGAAGACAAATGGCTTCTGGTGGCTGCACAGGGAGCCTGGGGTCCTCACCGTGACTGTGGACCCTGGGTCAGCCACTGTCTGTAGGGTCTGTGGGCCATTCCCAAGGCCAGGTCGCTCCGTTATCTCGAAGTCAGTGTGTCCAGAGCCCAACTCAACGTCGGCCAGATCAAAATCAAACCAATACACAGAAAGTGGCAAAGGGTGTTGGGGGATGGCACTGCTGCTGGGAGTGGCTGGTGGAGAGCGCTGGGAGGTTCTTCACTGAGCTGAGCACGAGCCCCCGTGGGACCCAGCATTCCTGCCCCAGGGGTATCCCCGAGAATTGAACACAGCACCGAGACGCACACTTGCACCCTGACGTCCATGGCAGCGCTACTCACAGCAGCCAAAGGATGGAGCCAGCCCATGTCCACCAGCTCACTAATGGATCATCGAGATGTGACACAGCGGAGTACGATTCAGCCACCAAAAGGAGAGACGTGCTGACACCTGCCACAACATGGGTGCTCCTTGAAGACAGTGTGCTGAGTGGGAGAAGTCTGGCACGGGTATGATTCTGTCCATGGCCATGTCCAGAATGGGCGGATCCACGGAGGCAGAAGGTAGGTTAGTGGGTGCTAGGCCTTGGTGGAGGGCATGGAGGGGTTGCCAGTGGGGTACCCGGGTGTTTTGGGGTGAGGAAGCGTTTGGGTCTAGCTGTTAGAGAGGTTTGCGTAACATTTTGAATGTACCGAATGCCACAGGCTTGCATACTTTAAAACGGCTGATGGTTAATTTTATGTTGTGCGAATTTTACCTCAACTTAAGAGAAGTCCCCTCGTTTGCTGAGATAAGCGCCTGTCGGCTCCCTCGCTTCTACGGGAAGCCTGGGGTCGTTTCCTCCCGACCTCACCTTCATCACTGCCCACGTCTCTGCCCCGTGTCACCGTCACCTCCGAGCCTGGGCACTCCCACATGGCCTGACCTTCCGGACGTCCTTTGGTGGCCCGGGGCCTCTGCTGGTTCCTCTCTCCTGCGTGCTGGCAGAGCCCCGGTGTCACTATAAACAGTTTACACTGCAGTGCAGGGGCCTTTCCCACTCATGTCTCCCAAATCCCGCTTTAAGACCCCACTGACTCATTTTTGTGTATTTTATTGTTCTTTTTTTTTTTTTTTTTTTCTGGCCACACGGCTTGTGGGATCTTAGTTCCCCCGACCAGGGATTGAACCCGGGCCCTCGGCAGTGAGAGCACGGGAGTCCTAATCACTGGACCACCAGGGAATTCCCTTACTGTTCTTATTTTTAATAATTTCTAAGAGCAAAGGCCCAGAGTCTCTCACTTGAGATGGAACTGACATTTCTATTGATAGTGAAAATTCCTGGTTTACAAGAACAGTCAGTGACGTTTGTAATGATTTCCATAAAAGTGGGAGTCTTACTGACAGTCTTAACTTTGAGTAGAATTAACGTACAATGTAAATAACACATTTCCGGAGTGTCACCCAGTAATTCACAAAGGGTGGGAAATAACCCAGTGACTCCTGGCTCCAGGGAGATGTTGGCGCTGGTCTCAGAAAGGATGAGATGACTGTTGTCACGGTAACAGAGGAGTGGCGAGGTGAGTACTTGGAAGGCAGTTCTGGAGCGATCGGTGGTTGCTGGTGTGTCCAGAGCTGACCCTCAGGGAAACCCCTCCTTCCCGCCCACGAGGCACCTGGGGCTGTTCCTCAGCCTTGGAAGCGTTGGGTGTTGGATGAAGACCCTGTATATGTTGGCGTGAGTCGGAGCTGCTCTCCTGGCTTTGGCTGTTCTGTAGGGTTGTGGGTAGGTGCAAGAGCTTATAGAGCTGGTACCTCCTGCGACCATCCGGGGCCGTGTGCTGGGAAGCCCGGTCCCATCCAGGGACCAACTGGTCGCCAGGTTGCTCTGGGGAAGTGGAGCTGGAGAGTCGGCTGTGGGAGACCCCGTCACTCCATGTACCTTTGCACTTTTTGGATTTTGCGCCCTCTGTGTGTAAACAGAGTTTTTAAAAAGCAGTAATGAAAAGTGCGGGAAGAAAACGAGAGGTTTCCTTCCCTGTTATGCGCCCACCTCCTGTTTCCTGCACGTTGGTGAGCAGAGTGGGGGCACTTCCTGCCCTCGGGTGAACCCGTGGGGCTGGGGGGCCTCAGAGGCTCGCCGGGGCCTTGGACCCTGTGGGCTGAGCTCTGGGGTCTGGTAGCAACTTTGACACGTTGCTCAAAGTGTGAAGGAACAGAAAGCCTTCTGGAGCCAGGGCTCTGTGGCCGGCAGGGCTGTGGGCTGGGAAGAGGTGGGCTTGGAGGTAGCCTTGAAGTCCAGGGAGGCGGGTCGGGCGGGCCCGGCTGGGACGCGCTGGGTCCCCGGCCTTCCTGGGACCCCGTGACCTCCCGGGACGGACTCTGGGGTTCTGCCGAGATGGCCTCTCTTCTCACCCGCTCTGCGTTGTCCCCCCTCCAGGAAGAAAACCGACAGATCCTGGCGCAGCAGAAGTCAGCCTCCCAGTCGGACTCACACGATGAGGAAGTGTCCCCGTTGCCGCCCAACCCGGTGGTGCGAGCCCGGCCCCGGCGTGGGGGAGTGAGCGCTGAGGTGTACACAGAGGAGGATGCCGTGTCCTACGTGCGGAAGGTGGGCCTTGACCCCGCCCCCGCCCTGCGTCCCAACCCGCATCCCAGGCGTCGGGGCCTTGGCCTCCCTTCTTCTTCCGGAAGGGCGTCGTGGTCCCTGCTGGCCTGAGCCCGGTGCGTACCTGCCTGAGGCTCTCTTGGGGCCACCCCACCCCCATGGTTCTGTGACCCCAGTAGGCTGGGGACAGGGTGGGATGGCCAGGTCGTGGGGTGTGGGAGGGGGAGCCCCGTGTCCAGGGCCTCGTGGGTCCTATTCTGGCTTCACCCTCGAGGCTGGACCCCAACCTCAGAGCCGCCTGGGGGTAGCCCGCCCCTGCCCTGGACATCACCCTCCCTCTCTCTCCGGCCCTCATGCTGAGCAGGGCACACCTTTGTCAGGGGCCTCCCCGGTGTGAGAGCACTGGTGGCTGCGTGTGTCCCTGAGCCCTGCCTTGGACATGCCTGCCATTCCATCTTACGCATTCCTACAGCCAGCTTTACTCTTTAAAACATTTTTTTTTATTTTTACTTTTTGACCTATTATAAACATTTATTTTAAAATACGGCAAAATGTGCATAGTAGAATTGACCGTCTGTGTCAGCTCACGCTGCCGTAACAAAAGACTGGCGGCTTACACAACAGACATTTACCCTCTCACAGTCTCTAGGCTGGGAGTCCAAGATCCAGGTGCCGGCAGGGTGGGTTCCTGGTGAGAACCCTCTTCTCTTCCTGGCCCCCAGGTGGCCGCCTTCTCGCCTGTTCTCACGTGGCGGGCGGGGTGGGGAGCGCAAGATCTTTAGGTCTCGACTTACGAGGGTGCGGATCCTGTCTTGGGGGCCCACCTAACCCCAGTCACCTCCCGAGGCCCCATCACTAAACACCTTACCATGGGGGCTAGGGTTTCGACACGTGAATTTGGGGACAGTTGGGCCACAGCACCTCTTTAACCATGTTTAGCATCCAGGTCACATTCTCACCATTGTGCCACGGTCACCGCCGTCATCTCCAGAACGTTTTCATCTTGCAAATCTGAACCTCTGTCCCCATGAAACAACCATGCCCAGTTCCTCCCCAGTACTTAGTCCTTTTATAATCAGGGAATAAAACCAGTAAGAGTGCAGCTTAAAAGCCCACCAGGGCACTTCACTTCTGTGGCCTCTTCCTCCCAAAACCCTGGACCCCTGTCCAGCCCGGAGGAGATCCCCAGACAAACCCAGACGAAGGGACGTTCTGCAAAATCACTGCCAGTCCTCCTCTGAGAAACTGTCACAGACCAGAGGGGCTGAAGGGCCATGACGACTGCGTGTGGCCTGGGTGGGATGTGGGTAAAACCAAGGAAACAGGACAGACATGTGGGTTTAGTTGCTAGGATGGCACCCAGCTGGTTCCCTAAGTGTGACGTGTCACCACAGTAACCCAGGGTGTTATAGGAGGGGAGAGGGTGCAGCGTGTAGGAAGAGACCTTCCTCTCAAGGCCTGCACGTCCAAGCTGTTACACAGTTGTTGGAGCTGGAGTGGCTTTTCAGGGGGCTCCATCCTGCCCCTCAGGGATCTCTTTGTAAAGGGTTCCATGGTTTTAGATGAGGCGTACCCACATGTGGGGTCCCGACGTCACCACCCGCCCCCAGCCTGGAAGAGATTTCGGGGCAGCTGAGCATGAGGTGGGGGTCACGTGCCGGTGCAGACAGCCTCCCCTCGGTGTCTTTTGAGGGAGGAATCTTGGCATTGGAAATACCAGTGCTGGTCGTCAGCTGGGCGTTGATTCACTGGACACACCTCGAGCTTTCCAGGCTGGTCTCAGCGGGCGTGGGGATGACTTTTTACCCACATTCTGGCCAACAAGGTCCAGGCCCCTACCCACCCCTTCCATAACCACCTGAAAGGGTGGAGCCAGCCTTGGGTCAAGGTATCTTTTTTTTTTTTTTTTTTTCCAGTTTTCAAATATTTCAACAAGTATTTATTACCTAAAAAAAGCCAGTGGAGTAAAGAAATAAAAACAAAAGACATAATAATCCAAGGGCCTGGAGGCCTTGTAGCATCTTTTTTTTTTTTTTTTGGGGGTACGCGGGCCCCTCACTGTTGTGGCCTCTCCCGTTGCGGAGCACAGGCTCCGGATGCGCAGGCCCAGCGGCCATGGCTCACGGGCCCAGCCGCTCTGCGGCATGTGGGATCCTCCCGGACCGGGGCACGAACCCATGTCCCCTGCATCGGCAGGCGGACTCTCAACCACTGCGCCACCAGGGTAGCCCCCTTGTAGCATCTTTTACAGGCTCTGAAGCCCACCGGCGTCTGTCCACCAAGACCCCGAGTTCTGGACGATACGCCAATTCTCAGGTCACTCTGGGCCCCTTGTCTCTTCTTTATTTTTCAGATTTCCAAAAATTGTGACATGCAGCTAGCATTTCAAGATTTCTGTCTACCCTCACTGGTAATAACACCTTGAAGGCTGAGTGGCCCGATTTCTCGGGGTCATGGAGGGTCCAAAGGGCTAGCTGGGTCCAGGCCCTGGTCCAGGGTGCCCACAGGTCTGACTCTCCTGGGCTTCCCCGCAGGTCATCCCCAAGGACTACAAGACCATGACGGCACTGGCCAAAGCCATCTCCAAGAACGTGCTCTTTGCTCACCTGGACGACAACGAGAGAAGGTAGGTGCGGGAATGGGGCTGGTGGGATGTCCAACTCCAGCGGACACGGGTCAGTTTTGGAAGCACGGGCTCATGGGGCAGGAGTGGCCTCTAGAAATTTAGCGCTGTGTACACTTGGGCTGCCTCCTCAAATCTGGGTTGGGATCCAAAGTGCCCGCAGGCCAACCTTGTCACAGCAAGACTTCTCTTCTGCTTGCAGAGGGCCTGCCGTGCCCGAGCTGAACTCACTGCCTTGTGGGCTTACGGGTGAAATGCACGTCTGTCCGCGGAGCACGGGGTCCTGAGGGAGGGTGACTGAGCTGGGGTGGCGCTCAGCATGGGCTGGAAGGGCCTCAGGGGTGGATGTGGGGTGGGGGCGAGAGTTACTCCAGGGAGGGGCCTGGGGGCAGTGAAGGGGCTGGGATGCTCTGCTTGGCAATGGCGAGCATGTAAATAATTGGGAAAACTGGAAAACGTTAAGCCACAAAGCAAAAATAATCACTGGGAATGTTTTGGGGGCTGTCCTTCAGGATTTAATCTATGCACATATCGTAACCCTGTGTTGTCACAAAACGGAATGACATTCTCCATAGTTTGTCGCACTTGAGAGGTGGTGAGCGTCTCTCTTTGTCAGTAAAGGCTTTCGTGGTCTGTGGTCCCCGTTTCTGTAGGGTTGTGTGATGTGGCTGCTCTCCTGCCGTGGCTGTTTGCATCTTTTATGATAAACAGCGTTTTGATGACATGCCCATACTCGTATGCTCGTCGGGAGTATTTGTCTGTTTCTTTAAGATAAACTCCTCGACGTGGATCAAAGGGTAAATGATGTTTGAAAAAAATTTTTTTTTCCGTTCTTGGCAAACGGTGATTCTTCATTAGAATAACCGAGCACATTTTGAGAACAGTCCATGCGAGATGTGCAGATGACATACAGATACGCAGAGTGAAGGGAGAAGAGGCCTCTTTGCGTCCCCCTCCCCACAGTGACCACCAGCCGTGTCCCGGACTGGCACCTCCAGGCCGTTCTCCGCGTGTGTATCACGTGGAAACAGGTGGCACACACGCACCTTCCGTGGCGCAGGCCCGGGGGCCTCCCGTGTGACCACTGTGCGGTGGCTGTGGACGTGCAGCTCCATCAAGGGACGGGTCGGTTTGTCCACCGCTCCCCTTGCCAAAGTCCCTGTGGACGTTTCTAGTTTCCCATGGTGCAGGGTCTCAGTGAAGAGTGAGGAATGGTGCTTCTGCAGGATAGAGTGGCTGGCATGCCAGTGTGGGTTTTTAGGCTTTTGATACGTTGTGTTGGCTGGTCCCAGGAGGGCCGCAGGGACGTCCAGAGGACCTGCAGTTGGGGGTGGTCCCTCCTCGCCCGCAGCGTGCTTCCCAGGCGGGGTGGCTGTGATCCAGGCTGAGGTGGAGATGCCCTGTCTGCAGAAGCCCGTGGCACGGGGCAGGGGCGGGGCTGGCCGGTCCTCCGTCTTGGGCCCACCCGTCCGTGCCCGCTCCCTGGGGCAGTCAGCCTCACCACGCCCTCTGCTCTCCGGCACTTGCCGGCTCCTGGTGGATCCACGGAAGGTGGACACATGTGAGACACCTCGCGGTCGCCCTCCCCCATCTCCCTCTGCTGAGTTGGCTTCCCCTGCCCCGGACACACTGGGTACGATCGCCTTATTTCACGTTTGAGGAGAGAGGGTGTCGTTTCTCTGATTACTGGTGACACTTTGCTCAGTTCATGGCCTTGGAAGCTGCTGAGTGGTTCACTGGCCTGGACTCTTCCGCCCAGAACAGAAGGGTTTGGGCTCAGAATCACAGTGCTTTTCAGCAGGTCACACCCTTTCATGGCCCCTTCCAGCTCCCAGGTAGCAGCAGGTTCAGAAAGTCTTAGCTTAGGGCCAGCCTGGCCGAGGCAGCTGAGCTGGACTCCCTCTCTGGGCCGTTCCGGGTGTGTGTGTCCAGGAAACGTATGCTGGAGTCCTGCGCCCTCGGCCCTAAGTTCCCAGAGCCACACGGCTCCCTCTGCCTCAGACTTTACTGCATCCGAGAGCCAGGTGGACAAGAAGTGGAGGAAGCAGATGGTTGGATTAAGATTCCTCTTTTCAAGGCTGGATTGGAAAGAAAGCTTTCACACGGGAAGTGTCTGCTTTAGATCTTTTGTTTTGCACAGAGGAAAACTCACTTTCCAGATCGAAGCCCGCACAGGCTCCCGTTTCTGGCTACGGCTTCTAAAGAGACGGGCTGACGGTTCAGGAAGTGGGTTCCAGAGGCCGTGGGCAGGGAGACGCTGTCCCCTGACCTTCCACGTGACATCTCCCGGTGCAGCATCCAGCGCCTTTGCTTTTCTCAGTGTGCTGGACGCTGGGCTTTGCAGCTTTGTCTCTGCTCAGCTGCGGTCTGGCGCGTGCCACCCAGTTCTTTCCAAGTTTGCAGGGCGTCTGGTGAGCCTCGCCGTGGATGCTGCCTGCTACTCCCTCTGCTTCCCGGCATGAGTAGAGTACTAGAATATCCATGCGGGTGAATCCACGCGGGAGAAGCCATGTGCTGCTCTATGATCCCTCCTGCTAAATGCAGGATTGGGACAAAAAAAACCCCACGGTCTAGGGCTGGGTGCTCTCGCTCTTGTCAGTGTTTTCAGCTTGCGTGGAGCCGCATCCGCGGGGAGACAAGGCGAAGACTGTATTCCAGCCCTTTGCTTTAAGAGAAGGTAATGCAACGTGGCTGAGGGACAGAGCCCCTACCCCAAACTGCCGGGCCTCCTTCTGGATGGGGCGGCATTTCTAGACGGCATTTCTCGAAGGCTTTCTCTGGGTCTGTGTGGATACTTTGGAGCCTCAGTTTCCACTCCCTAAATAAAAAGAGTGTCTCTTGGCCAAACCACAGCACCTGGCAGAGCCTCAGTTTTCTCAAGTGTCAAATGAGGGTAATAAAACCTACTTTGAGGCTTGCAGTGAGGATAGAGTGAGATACTGTCCATGGGCTTATCATTACCATCATTATAATCACCTCCATCATCACCACCATCACCATCACCACCACCACCACCATCACCATCACCATCATCACCATCATCCCCATCACCACCATCACCACCATC